CATACATGCAGACAGAGTGTTCTGCCTTTAAAAAAATACGTAAACAAATAAATTAATTTAAAAATTTTTTTAAAGAAAATATATACTCATATACTAGAAATATACTTATTCCCAGGATGGATAACTAGCTATTCCCAAATGAACCAAAACTGAGCAGAGGCAATGGTCACAGGTTGTTGATCTGCCAGCTGAGCTGAGCAGGAGCCAATCACCTCTGAGGCCTGCAGGCAGTGAGTCTCCCTGCCCTCCTGCCTATTCCTGAGGGCACTGGACATCTGTCAAGCCTCTCAGCAGAGGACGGGACAGGCTGAGTGCGGATGCCCAGGTCCTCAGGTAACTGCATGACAGAATTTCCCCCATATTCTGAAAGCTCCTGCTACATCTCACTGAGAAGGAGCTTAGAGACACAGTGGGAGCTGAGGGTGGTTGCCACTCCAGGGGCTCAGTGTAGGGTAAGACAAGTGGTACTGGGCCTGCTAGACCCTGAAGTGGGGTAGATGGCGACACTTCATAAATGTCTCTCAAATCTTCCCAGTTCCACACAGCCTGGAGTGACCCTGGATATAAGCCTGGCCTCTCCAACAGGAATTCAGCTATCTGTTCCTGATTGCCTGATGGTTCTTGGGCACAACCACATATCTCAGCTTCTTCATGACGGAGGGCCAGCCCAGCTGCTGCTGGTCCCACATGTACTCTGGGGACAGCACCTTTGTAGGCTTGTGGTACAGCAGGTACTTGTTCAGATGACTCTCATCATGCCAGACGGCCTCGATGCCATTGGCCTTGTCCTCCACCATAGCCTGATGGCAGGCCTTGGTGAGACGGTGCACCTCCAACACTGACCCCCCAAAGAAGGCCCCCATGTAATAAAAGTCGCCCTCATTGTGGGGGATGTAGGCCTGGGACTTCCGCCGGCGCTCATAGGTAAAGGCCTCTCGGCTGCTTCTGTAGAAGCCAGGATGCAGGGTACCGAAGAGTGCTGAGAGAATCTCCACACCCACGTGGTCTTGGAACTTCATGTCCACATCTGCACACACCAGGTAATCCACCTCCTGCAGAAAGCGCCGCTCGGAGAAGTCGCTGATCATCTCCATCCTGTGCATGGACACATCCTGCCAGCGGGAGTAGTTGCGCACGGTCAGCACCACCAGCTTCCG